GTACTGCTGCAATGCACGCCCAATGAGGGCACGAGATACATTTGTGCGTGCACGAGATGGAAGGCTGACAGACAGGGCGGCAATCCAATCCGTTTAGCCGGGCCGGCTAAACGGATTGGTTGTACTTTTTACAGTATTACGGCTTCCACAGATGACATTTTTTTATGGATTTGTTGTCAAAACGTCAGATATTCATTGCTATCGGGATGTTAAGAGCATTCCATGGAATATAACAAAAAGTGTATCTCGAGCCGGTTTCTCAAACTTACCTACCCCACCTTTAAGATGATGACCTTACGTGTGTAAATATATTTTTTTCTTTGAGGGGGTCTGCCCCCAAAAAACAGTTTTAAGTCCTGAGAAAGTCAAATAAGACGGTGTGGAAAACTTCACTGCCCAGCCAAAAAAAAGTAACCACTTTGATTTAACTAGGCCAGTAGGTAAGGGCTTTCCACTGGATAATAACTGCAGTATAAAATAATGCATGACTGAAGTGATGGAGACCATGTTGAAGGCAAACAAAAAGAGGAAATAACAGGTCAAATCAAGCAAATCCCCCTCTCAGATTGCACAGCAACCAGAAGAACATACATACTGGCTGGTGATTTGATTAATCAGCTTTGTGATGGAATAAAAAATGCACAGTGCATTTCCTTAGCTGTGTGTGAGTCCACTGACACCACTAACAATGCTCAGTTGCTGGTGTTTGTGAGTTTTTATGATGAGGCAAAGGGGGAGTTTGTTGAAGATGTGTTGGGCCTGACGAACCTCAGTGGACACACAAGGGGGCAAGACATTTATAAAGCAATAATGGGAATGCTGAATGAAAGAGGGTGCAGCTGCCTTTATTCATAACTGTGCAGCTCTTACACTGCGACTCTGAGGGGTCAAACACAGACACAATAACAATGAAAACTGCTGCATACAGATTATTTTTGTTTTTGCAACCTCGTGTTAAGAATCTTGTTGCAATTGTTTAAAAGTTTGAATGACCGTAATAAACGGACCTTTGTCTTATTGAAACATTTATTTTGGACCTTTAAGATTTGTATTTGAGTACCCCTGCTATAAACCAATGGAACCTAAGAGCTACATGTTGTGTGGAGTCAGGGAGGATTTGTTAGAGGAAAGCTCCCTCTAGTGTAGGAATGATTACACACACATTGCTCAATAACAAGGCATCACTATAAGTGTTGACATTTTTATTTAGATTTTTCATTTTGTATTTGCATGGGTAAACCAACAATGTATATACACATTTGTCCCTTTGGAGAAATAAAAAAGCAAACATTAAAAGTGCATGATATGATAACAAAAGTGAAATAAATTAACATGGAAGACAGTCTAATGAACTACTGAATGTCATAACCATTTTCTTTAAGAAATCGAAAAGAAATTGTAGGAAAATGCTGGAACAAAGACCCTAATGTTAAGTCACATAAGAGTCTTGTGATCCTGGTACAACAAGAAATACAGCAAAAAACCTGAATAAACATAAAAAATGTAACGTTTTATGAATTAAAAACACAATTAAAGACAATTGTCAAAGGGGCGATGTGCTGCATTCAGCACTATAGCGTTCTTTGTTAGGTTAAAAAACATTAAAATGAGACATTCATTTACTATTTATTTAGAATGCGTGCTGGAGTGTTAGTAAGCAGCTGCTCTCTAAAGCACTTATGAAACACTACTTTATGAACAAGTCTTCTCTAGTGGAGCTCTGAGTTTTTCATGTCATGTTTGACCATTACAAAAAAATGGAATTCATAAAAAGAAAAGCTCCTTGGTTTCATTAAAAAAAAATACAAATTGTCCATTACAATTTGTTTTGCTTAAGGCTTCTGAAAACGTTGTTTGTAGAGTTTACATCTGAAAAATAACCTCATCTATCGGACCTAAAAATAAAATACATTTTTACCGCAAACTCACAATACAAGTTATTCTTATACCCTTTAATATTAAGGACGACACACCACTGCTGTGTCCTAAAGTATTTGCAGAATCTGAAGTCTGTGGCTCAATTGAAAGATCTTGGTATTTCAGTTTCAGTGGTTATTGCGATTTTGATTCAGTGGTAAAATGACACAAAAATGATGAATAAAATATCATTAAGTGGAACTTTTTGTGACAACCGTGTCACAACATACTCAATGCAGGAATCTGTCATCTTAATTAACTTCTGCTTTATGCATCTTAACCAGTCATCAGAAATAAATAGTGGCGCTGCTTCAATGCATGTTTGGATGCTGTTTGTTTGCTGATAAACTGCCTGTTTTAAATACAAAAATAATAAAAATCACATCATGATTGCAATGATTGACGTGACATTAATACTATAAAAAGTATTAACCGAACATTTTAATGTCATTGTTCATTACATACTGCAATATAAAACTACAAATGGACTATCTTTATTGCATTTAGCTATATATATATATATTTGAGTTGCATTTATATTAGAGACTGGCCACATCTTGGATGCAGCTGAGAACAACACCGTTATCGCTGAATCAATGGAAGGCTATTTCACAATACATACATGAGGCTATTTAATCACCACATACTGTAGAGATGATCGCATTGTCTCTGCTGGTGTACAACAGGAATTATTTAACATCTTGTCAACATAAAAAAGACCGTAACCTACCCGCTCGGTAGGAGCACCCAGAGAGCACAGATCAGCAGAATTACAAAATAAAATACTGCGTAAAAATATATAAACATTAATATGGTGGAATGGGTAAAGAAAGGATATAGATGTTGAATCTTTTTAACTGTACAAATGAAATATTCTGTCATTTACAATTTCTAAATATTGGAATGGTGTGCAAATAAAGCAATGGAATATACCGGCCATGCTCTGCGCTTTAAACAGCTGCAGACTCTTGCATAGTTAATGAAATACATGCACTAGCGTTTTCATGCAATACTGCATTCCTCTATCTTTCGCAATTCTGTACAAAAAAAAACACAGACAATATCTGCAGTGAGGAAAATGAGATGAAAATATTCTCTGTAAAGATGTGGATGTTTTTGTTGAATGCTGTTTCAGCAGGTATGTGTTTAGATTGAGATGTATATATATACTTCTCGTATGAAGTACAGTACTTGTCTAGTTTTCAATGGCTTTTATCGAGAGTTAGCCATGTTGCATTTTTTGGTAAATCAAACCTCGGCTTTCTTAGTCTGAATGATGATCATCGGATTATTGCTCTACTACTACGAGTCAAAAAATAAATAAAAATACAGGCTTTTTTTCTGGATTGGAAGCAACTGATAACAAAGTTTCATGTTTGTCACTTTATGACAAATAGTTCCTGTGACATAATACAAAACTGAAGTGATACTAGGGACATAGGATTGTCCTCTTGAATAAAGAAAGGTGGGAAAACAAGGGAACAGGGTGCAGCAATAAGAGTTTTGTACATAAAAGTTGGGGGCCCCTATCTAAATATAGATTACAGCAATATACAGTATGAATGTCGAGTGAAGAACAAAGTGTAACGGCATGATCCAGCTCTGAAATGCACACTACTTAATTACAGACTTTTACACAGGCAAAGAAAACGGTGAAAGCCAGAATGACGGTAAAGTGTCCTGCTTTGATCCAAAGTGCCATGCACAGGTTCCTGATAGATTACAATGTTAAGTAGAAAAAGAGCAGCTACAGGAAAACCAGCACAGTGAAACAGCAGTGTTATCTCCATGGCCAGAACAGTTTGAACACAGTAGCCACTGTTACATTGTTGTTGTTGTTATGGTTGGACATTTAAATGATCATACAGAATGTTATTCGACTGGATCTGAATTTTACATTTGTTGCTGTTTGAGACGATACAAGATAGTATTCTTAACAGATCAACTTGAAAATATCTACGGAGAAATGTTAGGATAAAAGTGCTTCGATGGAGATCTTGTTGTAAATTGCTGAGTTACACATAACCATTTTTGCTATGTTTGGTAGCATTTAACTTGCATTTTTGTTGATTTACAGCTAATCTTGATATCATGAGACATCAACAAATATAGAAAACTGCTCTCAAACTCTAACCCCTGACCAATATTAATGTCACAACATTCCAGATGGAGTCTCATCAAGGCTACTGATTTGCACAGGCCATTTAAATAACACACATGCGTATTTCAACTGAGTGGTATTTCCTCTGAAACCATCTGAGAACCAATGTAAACCTTTTAGGTGCTACAGAGAACAAGTTGAGGCAAATATGTAGATCTATAAGTACAAGCTTACGTTAAATAAGTATAACCTACTAATGGTTGGATTTTAACGGCGTAACCACATTCATTCGTTTAGAACATACACTATGCTGGTGTCTAATGTATGAATATTGCATTTGCATGTGGGGTAATGCTACTATGATAATGCTGAGTGTTCAAAACGTCATGGCAGCTGCTGTTTCTATCATTTTACTGCAAGATAAATGTACCGTGCCGTGTCTGATAGTTGAGAAGATTCCGCCTAAATAACCATATTTGAACAACTGCTCAGCGCCAATAGGAATGACATTGCTCAATACTCTGGTTCAGCCTGATGAAGAAACATATGACATTCTCCAATGAGGTACCACAGGTTATGATAAGTGCTGCCACAGGTTTCTGGCTCACTGTAGTGTGTGTTGTCACAGTTCTGAACATCAGCAGATTTTTTAAAAAGATGCTCTTTAAGAAACATCAGATCCAGAGGAGCATCGTCTGCTACAGCACCAGGTGGAGTAAAGTGACCCCTGAACCATTCAACACTACTGTACCATATGTCTTGAAAATCATAAGAAGATATTAAGATAAGTACATTAAGAGTGTGTGTGTGTGTGTGTGTGTGTGTGTGTGTGTGTGTGTGTGTGAGGGCTGCTCAATTATGGCAAAAATCATAATCTCAATTATTTGGGTCAATAATTGTAATTGCGATTATTCATTGACTTTGAAAACATCCATTTATTGGAGAAAAAAAATGTGAACAGTATGTTTTTAACAGTTGATTACCCTGAACTTTAAGTATAATTCAACAGAAAAACAAAAAAAAAATTATTTAAAAAAACAAAAAAAAAGTCATAATACAAAAATAATCGCTTTATTTCGATTACGTTGTTTTCGTAATCGTTGCAAGCCATAATCGTAATCGCGATTAAAATACGATTAATTGAGCAGCCCTAGTGTGTGTGTGTGTATAGAACTGTAGGTAAAGGAAAACTACCTTTCTATACAAAGTGCGATAAAACAACATTCCTACTCAGTGATGCATACAGTAGTAGACTACTATGTTTCCAAAGGCTACATTTGTTTCCATGTACAGTATTGAAAGGCGCTTATTCATCTTGCTCATGGAAAGGGAAGAAATGGGTTATTATATACTATATACTTTGTCAATATCTGTACATTTATATACTTTTTAAAGGGTTTCATTCCAAACACACAGTCCCTTTGATAAGTTTGATAAAATACATTTCTATCAAAAAAAGTATTAAAGAAAAATAAAGTTTTAAAATATTGGAAGACTTGTTTAAAAGTTTGTACCGTGCCTAATTATTGATCATCTCAAATCCTTTTTCTGTTCGGTCCGGGGCCTGCCATCACCTCAGTATTTCTATATTCTTTTATGGTTCATAATGTAAAAAGTTGTAAATTATTCTCAACCGTCTTAAATCATGAAATGACTTATTAGTACCTACAGAATGCTAATGCTTTTTCTTCTTTTAGCTTCCATCAGCGCAACACATCGTGTGTGTGTGTGTGTGTGTGTGTGTGTGTGTTTGTGAGAGAGCATCACTCAGAATTTGTCCGGAGATAATCTCTGATGTTATGCTTCTGCTTTCTATGTATTAAGTGCTTAGAAATCAGAGCGGTGAGGTTTAAGCATCAACAGCCATCTGATTTCCATCTGAATCTAAAGAACGTTATCCTACAAGACAACATATGCATCGTTGGTGCATACAAGGTGAAAAAGCTTCTTACTCCATTCACTTCTCTTAATGCACAAGCTGCTGCGTTTTAAATCCTTTTACTTCGTCAGCAGGATATTTTGCAAGCAAACTAAACGTAATGTTTGCCGCATTTCAAAGAGATAACACGCCTCTTGTCTGAAGGGAATATAATTGGATTCCAAAAGGCAATTCTGACAGCTGTCATATAAGCCTCCAGTACAACCAAAAAGGAAGTGCTGTACAGCTGAATGCGTATTGCATGCTCATGTACCTGCCTTGCCAGAAAAAGCTCTTACATGTCGACAGATTGTCTAACTCGCATGGAAACCCTACCTAATGCTTCAAAAGTGTAATTGATAAGGATACGCACAGCCTTAAACTAGAACTGGTGGCATGCCAAGCAACTGTTTGGCATCTGAATATGCAGATGATTTACAGTACTTTCTTTTTTTCCACTACAGCTGACTGCCAATACTCAAACCTCAAACCTCATATCTGATGTCAGAGTGCAGAAGCATAATAATCAAAAAAGTGTCTCTTTACAAATACATGTGGTGCTCAGTTTAACTCAGGCACAAAGAAAATAGCTGCATCATGTTCGTTTCAAACTACGGATGTATCATTGAGGCCTCTTTGTTGTACGTGCAGGAGATTGCGTGCTCGACGACAGCTTGCGGGAAGATGCCATCCTTTCCAGAGGTTTCTTCCCGTTAGCGGGAGACTTGAGACTTACTTCAGAAGTGGAAGACTTGGACTTGCCGACGTTTAATAGAGAGCGACTGAGAGAGCTGGGGGGCCTGGAAGACTCCTTTGTGTCCGACTTTTTCTCTGTAGGCGTCGGTGGAGACACGGCGTCGCCCTTCTTTCCTGCGTCTCCACCGCCGTCCTTAGCTTGTCCGTTCTGCTTGCACGTCCTCTCTGAGGCCTTCTTAGCGACCAGGGTGCTTTTCCCCAGATCAGCCGACCGGCGGCTTTCCCTTTGTCGGAGGGCGCTCCTTAAGAACGACAGGCCCTTTTCCTCAGATTTGCTGCTGCGCTGCTGCAGGTCTCTGGCGGATACGCTGGGGGAGCGTAGGCTGGTGACGGAGGAGCTGCTGCTGGAGCTCCGCACGGATCTCCTCTCGGGCCTATTACTTTCCCCGCTCTTAGAGAAGGAGGAGCGGCTTGCCAAGCTGTCTCGGAGACTGTCCACCAGAGGACTGGTGTGCATCGAGTCCCTGCTGAAGCTCCTCTCTACAAGCCTTTTCCGGCTACAGCTGTTCTCTGTGAGGTTGGAATTCTTCTTTGCCGTTGGCGAGGGAGAAGCGGCGGACTGAGGAGTGGAGCGGACTGATGGCTTACGCTGTGGCGTTGCGTCGAGAGGTTGAGTCGCCACCTTTGTTTTGGAGGGAGTCCCACAGGGCGTCGAGATGCTTTTCTTGGCACTCACAGTCTTGTCTTTAGTATTGCTTGCCTTTTTGCCTTTTACAGGAGTGCTGGTAGACGTCTCAGCAGCGGTGGTCTTATGGATCGAGCACAAACGCTTTTTGGAGGTTTTCTCTTGCTCCACTTTGCTGGAAGACTTCGTTGAGCCTGTGCTTTCCGCCTTTGAGGCAAATCCCCCGATACTGCTCTTACGTTTCTGTTCTTTGGAGGGAGTAGCTTGGGCGGGAAGAACGTTTTGGTCTACAGCTGAAATCTGGTTGTTATTTTCAGTTGCCTCATTTTTGGTGCTCTTCTTCTCCACTGGAGTGGGAGCCCTGCAGTACATCATGTCGATGAACCTCTTGTTGTTGTCCTGGTCGGTGAAGTTGCTCTCCATCATAGAGAGGGGAGACCTGCTGCCAAAGTAGCGCTCGTGTCTGCTGTAGCTGCCAAAACAGGACGTGGAGACTTTGTCATCACATGCCTCTCCGATCCTCTCTAGAGGAGGGGAACATCGAGAGTCGAGGGAGAAACGGGAGGGCGAGTTGGATCTCATTTGCAGCTTCGCAGCCAGAGACCAGGAAGGCTTCACCCCGCTGTCGCTGAAGGCTAAAGGGCTAGCAATGGAAGACCTGGAGGACAGGCTCTGGCGCTGAATGCTCCGCACAAAGGGGCGGATAGAGAATCCTCCTAAAATCAAAATAGCAGGGTTTTTTGGGTTTAGAAAAGCTTAACTCGATTTCAATTACTGATAAAAACACTCAATTCATCCAAATTACAACACCATTTGTATACGATGCATATATGCATAATGTGTTGTGAGAAAGATGTAGTTAAATATCAGTTTGCCTGGCTATCCGTTTCTGGAGACTTTGCTGAGGCTGTATTCTGGAGGATTAAACTGAGCCTACATTTATATTAACCACACACAGCAGCAAAGCCAACATCTTTATTTCTCCACTGTATGGAGCTCAGTCAAATGTGTTCTTGCATGTTTCTATCAATGACACATTTTGATTGACCTTTAGCTTTTTCCTGCAATCTTCCTCCTGTTAAACAAAACCATTTTGGTGTTTGGATTTGTTGGCTTATGTGCTGGAGTTCCTGACTGTAAAGAGGAGTTATCAAATAAATGTATCTTTTGATTATTTAGTGTTGGACTATTTACAGAGTTGTTCTGTTGCAATTGTAATAAGGTATACATAATGAAAGCAGAGCAGTCTCTTTCAAACCGTTTCCTATAACTGATATTTTGCCAGATGCAATCTGTATTATATTTAAAAAGTGTCCAGTTTCGTCTGTTGGGTGGATGGACATGGTGTTGCTTCTACAACTATGAAAATCTAAACTTGTGTGTTTGTTAGAACTTTGAAGTGTGTGTCTTCATGTGTAGGTTATATCTGACACCTGCCAAATCAAATATATTTAAAAAACCAATATAAGCAATGTCTCACCATCATCTTCATTGCGTTCCACGGGGAACTCCACAGACTCAGCCAGTGAGGCCAGAGAGGTACGTCTGGACGAGGCTCCGGAGGCCAGGCTGGCCGGCCGGCTGCCAGGCAACCTGTTGATCCAGTGATCACACAGGGAGGAGCTGGTGGAGCCTGCACAAACAGCAGAAGAACACTCTAGTTACCTTTAACATTTCAGAGCCACAAAAAGGCATATCTTTTTTATATTATTTTCCCAAACTAAAAAGTGAACTGTACAGTGTGTGTAGTAGATGAATGCAAATACAAATCATAACAGCTTATAATCAGTAATCAATTTCTTTACATTGGTTCATTGGTAACTTCTGTCAAAATGGTGTTTCTGTGGTATATCTTTTGTGGCTATATTCATGCAAATATTGCAATAAAACAGTTTCGAACTTCTCGTCGTCAAAACCTTGTTTTTCAGTTGGCTCTTTCCCAGCTTAATTAGGACTTACAGGGGTAAGAAAACTGTGAGCCCTGTGTCTGTTTCACTCAAGCTGGAGACATGATATACCAACAACATGTGTGTGATGTTGTAATGCTTTCTTTGCTGCGGTGTGTGCGTCGTGAAATCCTTCTGCTGCACAAAAAGATTTAGACTGATCTTGGCCGATCAGCTAAAAACTGACCCATTTTTGACTGTCCATTTGGGGAATTCTTTTACTACACAGCAGATATCAGACAGAAAGTAGGACATAAAAACTGACCAGCAACAGAGCTGTTTGCCGACCAGGAGGGAATGACAGTCCTCCGCTGGTAGAACAGTATGTAGGCCGTCTGCTGACACACGTCTTCGTCAGGTACTGGGGAAACCTCGCTGTCATCAAAGCAGTACCACTGACCATCAATGGAGTTCTTACAGTACGCTGTGAGTGCAAATCAAAGAATGGGTGAAGCAGTCCAACCCTCAAATACTACCTTTGAACTAGCACAAGTGTTTATAGCGTTACCTGTGTAATGTCCTCCATGCATGTTCCCGTGGTGGTTGCACACAGCGTACAGGTCGTACAGGTAGTCATCGGGGTTTCTGCCCAGGCCATATGGGCGTCTCCATGGCGACCAATGGGAAGGTAAACTCCAGCTGCTCTGGCTCCTCTTCACCATGTGAGGTGCCATGTCCATTCCCATCAGAGGGAACTTCACCATGTTCTGCATCTTCATCCGCCGGTCTCCCTCCTGAAACAGAGGCAACATAAACACATCCGCAGTTATAGAACAAATCTATTCCGACAGGAACCTTGAAGAAAACTCTGTAGCTACAATAAATACTTTAACTTTAACTGCTCAATTAGGTATTTGTAATATCAGCCAGCTCCTTCCTTACATGTAAGATTCACTTCGTAAAACCTACAATGGATGAAGGCTTCAGAAAAAAAAGGAAATATTTTTGGAAACACACCAGACTCAATAATGTTTCAAATGGTGCCAACATGATATTGGCATTTCAGTTGCAATATGACAAACAAAATGCGATCATCTAAATGGTGTCCAAACAAGAGCAACACTACATCCTCTATGCCCTATTATATTTGTTTACAACTGACATAATATTCAATTTGAATGTAGGAACTATCTGATCAAATAATGATATACGTCTATTATTTGGACATATCTGGTGGTACCATTTTTCAACAATCACAGCTACTAAAAAGTATTGAGATTTGATACCGAGCCCTAAATTCGAACACAAAAAAAAAAAAAAAAACTTGATTTAAAATATAAACAAGAGTGATTCCATTCTTGATTCTCAGAAAGTATATCTGGATTCAAACTAGGGCTGCACGATATTGAAAAAAACTGACATTGCGATATTTTTTCCCCTGCGATATATATTGCGTTTTTTTTAAACTATATTTAACCGGATGAAGGATTTTAGTCACGGACGTCTGGATCTTAACTGGTAGACTCATCATACCTTAAGTCATGATCTAACATGTCATGATAATGCATGTTGCTTACCCTCAAATAAGGGGGTTCATCTGTGAATGAAGAAGAGAAGAACCTTTTTGGATCCAAAATAGTTCCAGATGGCAGATGTTGCTTTTCTTTTTGGAAGTAAATCTTCATTCTCGCCGGTATTGTCCTCTTGTGCCTCGTTCATTTTTTACCGGTGTTTTGATGGTCTACAAACTAGCGGGCGGGGCCTGCTGTGATCTGATCAAGAATGATTGTGATTGGTGGTTTGCTGTGCATGCAGAGCCTGCATGTCACTCACTCAAGTAACCCTGACATGAGAGCCGAGCAAGTTTTCCTTATGTAGCAAGCAGCAAAATAATTGTAACATGACGTGTTTGAGTTAATGTACCTACTTAATATCAGGCGTCCTAAAAAAATTTAAAAAATAATAATAATTTAATAAAATAAATTAATAAAATTGCACGTCCCTGCGATCGCGCATGCGCATATCGCGGTTATCGCCATGACACGATATATCGTTCAGCCCTAATTCAAATGTCAATGTTCTGTATGAAAAGTGTAGAGCTGTAATACCTGTCTGAACCTCTTGAGATGCAGTATGAGCACATCAGGCAGCGTCCACAGGCTGAGCTTAATGCGGCCCTGCTGCAGCTGCTTGCAGTGGGGACAGCGCCAGGCATCATCTGGGGCCAGCTGAAACACACACACATGCACACACCCATCAAGGACAAGCTCCAACCACAATGCTTATAAAATAGGTCTCACACGGTATAAAAGCCCTGAGTTTCCCCGTATTCTCCTCCAGGGCTATCGCAGGCAAGTCAAACCACACTGTATATGTAGGCCTGGGCTCAGTTTATTCCAAACATAGCATTAGAAGTCAAATACACAGAAAAACCACACAGTGAAAGGCTTTCGGAACTTTAGCAGAGGGGAGGAGACACGTGAGGCTATACTTCAAAGTATACTCACCACTGACATGTGCCAGGGTAAATCCAGGATTTATTTTTCCAATGTCAATCTACTGACAGTGCAGTAATCAACTATGTGTGTGTGAGGCTGAAAAGTTACCTCCTCCTCCTTGGTGTAGAGCTGTAAGCACTGAGCGAGGCTGCAGGCCTGCGGCTGATGGTGCTGTTCCCGGTGCAGATACACACTCTCAGCATCAGGAATGTACTCCTCCTCAGTGTGTCCGAACAGACTGCAGGGACATGAAGCACAGGCCAATCATTCAGCAGAGTCATGAGAGGAGCGTCACAAGATCTGTGTCGACATTCTGGACTGCAGTTAGGTTGTGAAATATCTCAAGACAGCTGATCTAATTGATTGGCACATTACAGTAATGAAGTGTGTCCTTTTTATATTTATATCTGGCATTACATACATAACAAAATCATTTTCCTAATGTTTTTGCAAGATTTCTGAAAGTGTTGGATCTTGACAGGTGGAGCAGCATTAAAACAGTCTGATAAGCCGCTTCATAAACATTATTCTATAACACATAGGTGTGAGCAAGCTCTCTGATTGGTCAATAGGCGTGTTTGATTCCACGATCAAAGAACGGTCAAATAGAACGTGCCTTTTCACAACAAGTCAGTCCCTCCGCGTCTGAGAAAAACGGTATACCCTTGGCCTGAAAAGCAAACTGCTTGCAGTTTGCTTTTCGAACTGGAACAAGAAAGCAGCGGAGAAGTAACGGGGCAGAAACCCTCATTTTTACGTTACGAAACAAACTTCCAACATAATATGGAAACATTTAAGATTAACTTCAACCTCCGGGGGGGTCTTACTGTGGAGGACTGGATTGAGGAGCACCTAAACGACAACATGCAGAGCTACGTGAAGAGCAGGTAGACCAACTGGAAAAGTACCACAATTCAAAAGCTAACTGCAAACTGGAACAAGAAAGCAGCGGAGAAGTAGTGGTTTCCATAGCGACACACAGCCGTTACATTGTTACATTGTCTCTCGTTGGAAAATCGTTAGCTACAAAATGTCAGATTTTATAGTTATCATCTGGACAACAGAAAAATGTGGAGCAACGCGCTTTTTGCCGGTCCGGGACACGCCAAGCGGCCACTGGAGGAAAGCTCTTCCGTGAACACCACAGCACCAACTGCAAAAAAGTCTGGCATGGAGTTCATGAGTTGTTTCAAAAATTGCACGTTTAATGGCAGCATGAACATCCACCTTCATTCTGAAGCCAAAATGTTAAATATGTAAATAAATAAATAAATAGCCTAATTCAAGAATTGTTGTCAATAAATTGTTCTCAATAAATTGGTTAATAATATATTATTTACTATAATTATATCAATAACTGTAAGCGGGGAAGCAGGAGTGTTCGATTGATCGGCTCTCGTTACCAAGGGAACTACTTTATAGGAACTACTTTCTGACGGAGATTAACTCGAGCAGAAATTAGCCCACATTATGAAATTATTTTACGATATTGTTGATTACAATGATAGTTTGTGTTATAGAATCGCAATCATACACTTGACGCCGTTCTTACAGTACGCAAGCGCCTCGGTCCTGCCGCAGTACTGTCGTACCAATAATGACGTTAAAGAACGGCCTCTCGTGTATGATTGCTTAAATCACACACAGGTTTAGAATATTAATGAAACGTCTTGCAGAGATTTTCCTCCACATGTTGAAAGATGATAATCTACATGACTAATGATCAAGATGTGGCTTTCATTTGAACAGCAAAGGGTGTGTGGTGTGTGCGCGTGTGTGTTAACCGCACATTGTAATTAGCTTAAGTGAGGGAACTAGAGCAGACGTGTTGTTGATTGTGTGGGCGGAACTACAGTCTCTAGTGTTTATATGTGGTTTAAAACCACAACCATTTCAAATTAAGCTCATTTTCTAGTAGATTAAGTAAGTTTATTTTTCAAATACAAATGATTTGATGAACAGCAAAAGTTAAAAAAGGTTAAGTCCTGTAAAATATGGCTTATTAAGATCTTTGGCTAACATGTACTGAACACTGTATTCTTTACTGACACATGTTGTCAGTGATGTGTGAGCATGCTTATTTATGGCACTGTGACAAGCAGATGAGTTACATTATGTTGAAGGAAAGGTATGAGGCAGGGATGATCTGAGTGAAGACACAGGGGTCAAAATGTGGCATTTCAGTTGGGGCCTTCAAATACATACAGGTCATAAACTGTGGTCAAATAGATAATACTATTGATTTTCTTATTTAGTAACATCTCAATTGTGCATTCTCCATAATACATTAGGAGGACAAACTTGTTGTTCTGCTTGTTAAAGGGCCCTATTATTCAAATGTTCCGGTTCCATAATGATATGTTGTGCCTCTACCGTGACATGTTAACATACTTTAATGTTCAAAAGGTCTTTATTGTTCTCATACTGCCTGTGCTACAGCACCTCTTTTCACCCTCTGTCTGAAACCAGGGCCCAGTCTGCTCTGATTGGTTAGCTGGCCGGCTCTGTTGTGATTGTCCAACCGCTTATAGATGTCCTGCCTCTTAGCCTATCACGTACAATGAAGCACGAGCGTTACATAGTGATGTCATGATGTGAGGGAATTTGGGTATTTTAGCCTATGCAGACCATTTACATGCACCAAACCTATATAACACTACAGGAAAGGGAAAACACCAAAAAGCAGACGGGCCTCTTTAACTAATGGCACAAGGCAAGTCATTAAAAGGAATGGTTTAAGATATTTCAAATCACACTGTTTCATTTCATTTGATGTATGCTGTCTAGCTTTGTGAAATCCAATATTTTGTTCCCAATGACGACAACAGCAAACAAATGTAGGTATACAGTATACATACAGTAGGTGAACACAAACAGAGCGCAGAACATATCAGATGTTTCACTCACTAGTCCTTGGTCTCTTTGTCCCACTCTACCACGATCTTCACATGTGGAGGCCCCCCTTGTCCACAGGACTTGTATGCTCTGCAGGGAAAACAATACGCGTTCAAAACACTTGAAGTGATTTAGGAAGTTGGCATTACAAATGGGTTCATACACTTTTTCACCAATGATTTTCCATGACTTCTCCATGACCTTTACCTAATTCTCCATGACCAAAACAATTACTCTCTCAGCGTACCACTGAAAATGGTTTATTTTAACACGGAACAGGAAAACAAGGTCTGCAAATGAAACATGTTGTGGCTATCTAAAGCAAATCCAATAGGCTGACTAGCTTCTACGCGCTAAAGCAACTCAAATCTCTCACCAGCAAAACACCTCGTCAGTTAAATGCCATTTGACGTTTCATTACTATACGATACAGTATTTATTATCATTATAGTATTACTATTTCGGCGATTAGATCAAATATAAATTATATTTGATGCAACTTTAGTTACATTTCCATGACTTTTCCAAAACTTTGTGAACAATATTGTTTTCCATAACTTTTCCAGGGCCTGGAATTAGCATTTTGAATTTCCATGACTTTTCCAGGTTTTTAATGACCGTAAGAAGAACCCTGATTACATCATTTGCTGTTTTAAAATGGGGTCCTTGAGAAGGACATTCCATTAGAGGATAGGTTATTCCAATCTGGTGAATGAAATGATGTCGTTACTCTCAAAGAGCAGATCAAAGTTAAAATACGATATATATTGCTGCGGTTATAATAGAAATGTGAGCAAAACCAGCAAATGATAACATCTAAAGAGCAATCCTAGTTGTCATCAAAGAAGGTATTGATCCATTGCAGTAATACCAGAAGCAACCTTTTCACTTTGATTCATGCACCACTATTGAGCAAGAAGCTGTGACTTGTTTTATTGATGCTAAGTGATGTAGGTGAAAAGTCAAACATGATGAACCGGCATTTTAACAAACAGTCAAAATCATGATAGGGCTTGTCACAAAAGCAAGTTTATAATAAGTCCCATCCCAGTTTCTCAAAGTCCAAGGTGATGTTTTGAAAGGTCTTATGTCAGTTAATATGATGTAAAAAAGAGAAAAGTAAAAGATATCAAATGTTAAGAGGCAGAAAACAACATCGCTAAGTCTGTGCATGTCTGCCTGGTAACATTCAAATATCTACCTCTACAGCATGAATGCCTGGGAAAGTCATTATTATGTTAGTAGGCATTTAAAGACGGCAAACGACTAGATCGCAAATAGGAAAACTAATCACAGCTTTTCAAACTTGTCAGGCATTAACCAGATGTTGAAATATAAAGCAGCAGAACTGACCTCTCCACAGTGGGGTGACACAGTGGTCGCTCATCTTGAGGAAGGAGGTAAGTGATGCCGACAACACCAACCACCCGGAGACTGAAAGGTCCGACCTACACACACACACACACACACACTACTGTCAGCACTTCTCTAATCCTAATCCATCTGGCTTATTAACCAGGTGTAAATCAGACTGCTACGGGGATTTCCGTTTATACCTAAAAGTTATCTCTCAGTATTTCACTGATAACAGTCTTTTTGGAGGCTGATATTTCATATTCACCAGCTTACTGTGTGAAGCATCAATTCATTTGCAGTACATTCAATATAAAGACAAACATGTTATTCCTGTTCCTACCTGGATGAATACCCCCGGCCTCAGAAGATGTCGCATTTTCTCCAGGATCTCTTTCTGTAGAGCATCCCAGGTCACAGTGCGCTCCATGTACAGTACAAAAGGCAGTCCGAACCTAAAACAAAATAATGTGCGTTGCTGTTAGAAATCCCTCCACAACACTAACACACCATTTACTCATCGCTACCATTCTTGGAAAATACCAATAAAGACTGGACATGTTTTAGGGCTGCAAAATGTATTGTTTTTTTATCACCATATCATTTTTTTGATAGGTATACTGATAGCAGCAGAAAGGTAGAAGCAAGTATACTTTAATATCTTTTTAGCAGAAGTCATATTTTATTGTGATACTGAACAAACTTGTTGCATATACTCCTCATACCATGCAGCCCTGAATTTGTTTTATGAGCTTCATAGTCGAGAAGAACATAAACAACACGTACGAATACATTAGCATCAGAGGACATAGAGTATTGTGATTGTACCTCTTGCCTTGGTGCCCGGTACATGCCCTGTTGCACACCAGAAGGATAACTTTCTCTGGCCCCAGGTTTTTATTGGGTGATGCAGTTAAAGGTGTCAAGGCTCCTTGCATGAACGACGGAGTCCTGCTCATTTCTGTCCCATACTTTAAGTTGTTATGATTCAGGTTTGCCAGAAGACTTCCTGTGAAACATAAAAGCAAGTGTCGGTGAATTCCTTTCTACTAAGTTAGAGTGGAAAGGAAGCTGAATAATGGGAGGAATATGAAGTGTAACTTACCTCTTTTTGTGCGTATGTTTTCCAGTTTGAAGGTCTCAGGTGTCTCAAAGGCAAAAATGGAATCACTCTCCTGAATGATTTCGAGATCGTCGTCGTCATCACAAAATGAACGATGAAAACCGTCGTAGTACATTTCAGTCAGAACAAACTGAAAGAGAAGAAAGAAAAACAATGAGTGTTTTTTTTACCATTATGCAAAAATAGTCGGCAGAAAATACCTCGTTATCTTGCTTTACCCCTTATTTACTTGAACTCCTGTAGCATTTTCATTCTGCCGGATTGAATCAATGTTAGCACTCAGGTTTCACAGCCTCAGGGACAACAGTGTTTGAGAATATCTCTCTCAGTGTATTGATCACTTCACAAGAACAATGGGTTTATAATAAACAGAGGAAGAGCTGGCTTTAGAAACAGTGAGTTTCCATTGTGTGACTGTAACATATATTCCCAGTGTGTCAGACCCGGAGCTGATAAGAGACAGGAATAGCACCTGGTCCATGGGGATCTTGGTCTCACGTGACACAGCATCTCTGAGGCGGTACACCGTGCTGTTGAGGGGAACGGCCACTCCGATCCTCATGCAGTGAGAGTACTTCCCCTGGTAGACCACCGTCACATACAGGGGCCTGGCAAACAACACAAATACATATTATACTCTATAATGTACTATGGTAGCAAGGTTTCTTCTGCTTTAAACCCATGTTTGACAAGCGTAACGTTCGCTTATTTTCCCCATTTGTTTTTCTGTTCTGAATACACCCCTAAAGATTCAAGATTCAAGGCTTTATTGTCATTTGTACATTAGCTACAGTGTAGCTATGTCAATGAAAAACTTAAGTCACAGGCTCCTCCAACAGTGCAACATATATATATAGGACATAGAACAAATAAAACAGATCAAATAGTGCAAGTAAATACAAATGCATTAGAAATAGTGCAAGAAGAGTCTATATACAAGTAAATAGAATGATATATTAGATAAATACTTTGCCAGATGCAGACTAGGGGTCGACCGATTATCGAGGCCGATATTCCGCATTTTACAGATTATCGGTCTTTTTAATCAAATTGCCGATACAACTTTGGCTCTGATGCGGCCGTTTCTCTGGCTGCAGTCACCACTGTTCACGAGCTATGTCCCGCCCACAGCGCTATCTGATAGGCTATTACTGAAGTGTCAATCAACACTGAAGATTTTCCGGGCAGCAGCCAGCCAGAGAGGCGGGACCTTCTCAGATTACAGGCAGGTGTGAAGAACGCAGACACAGACAGAGGCAAGCAGCAGCAGCGAGCGGTGTTTCGAAGGTTAATCAGTTGAAAGCCGAAGTTCAATAAACATCCCAATCCCCTATGCTGAAGTTGCAAAAACACCACGATCTTATGATCCAATTCTATCAGTTTCCCAGTTACAAAGGGACCGGGGGGGGTAGCAACTCGCAGCGGAGACACTGTGATGGCTGCTAGTGGAGCCTCGCAGCAACTCTGCTTTCTGCACCACAATCAGGTGCTGCTGAATTGGGACTACTAAATGAGCGAGACTCAAATATCAGAATTTCAGAACAAGTTTTAGTAGGTTTTATTTTTACTTAATTTACTTTACTCAGGGCCACAGAGAGGAAACCAGTTTCAAGATGTTGAAAAGTTCATTAAACATAAAAAGGCATTTCAAAGAAGTTGTGTTATTCTACATTTTGACACCAAGATTTTCTGATTTTACTGCAAATGTATATCGGTTCCAAATATCGGTTATCGGTCTCCTTGATTACTAATAATCGGTATCGGCCGTGAAAAAGCCCCATCGGTCGATCCCTAATGCAGACAGATGAATGTTTATGGATGTTCTTTCATAAGTTCAGGTATTTAACAGTCTTATGGTCTGTGGGATGACATTGTCCCTTAGTCTGGTGGTTTTAGTCCTGATGCTGCAGAGAGAACAGTTCGTGGCTGGGGTGATCTAAAATGAACACCCTGCTGTTCTCCCACACCTGTTTGCTGCTCCACCTGCACCTTCAACCCCCGATACAGCCCTAACTCACCAAGTTACATTCCTTTTATGGAACAACACGTACTAATATTGGCTTCAGGTTCTCGTAAACTTGTATGGTATGATCCCATTTGAAGTCTTTTTTGAAAACCTTATAAAGCAATGTTTACTTCAGCTATGTAATGTGGATTACTGTATAAACCAGTATTAGGTAGTCATGAACATGTGAAGACCTCTCAACTGAGCGATGCTGACGGATAACTCACCGTGTGTGGGGCAGTGGGATCGGTAAGGAGATGCAGAGGAAGGGATCAAACGTATTGCTCTGCTTTTGGCAATGTGGGCAAGTTAAAGATGATCTGTTGGGACAAAACGTCATCTCTAAATATGACAGAAAGATAGTGTGGCGATGGTGGAAAAAACATGTTTTACTAGGTGTAAAGTCTACCTGTACTGAGCCTGAAACAGTTCTTGCACAAAGGAGCCAGCAGACAAGGGAGGAGAGGGTCCTTCCAAGCTTTGATCGTCTTCTTCTATAGGTGGCTGGCAACAAAAACAAACAGGTATTACTAGACGGTCACACATAATACTTCATAAGCTAGTTCAAATGCAGTTCATGTATTCTGTTGTGATCAACTAGCTATAGGAAATCCAGAGGAAACAAGAGCAGGCAGGTCTAGCTGAGCAGGACTGTGAAAGCAACTCATTAGTGTGACCAGAACAATATAAACACATGTGACATATCGTGCAAAATAGATTTTCAATAACAACTTCAATAACTATAATCAGCTTCCTGGTCCCAAGGACTGTGTGGTTCAGAAATAAGGAGGAATGTGCCACAGGCAATCACTGTTTTTCAATTTAACACCAAACTATGCCTGTTAAAAAAAAGCCACAAGTCTTTTAAACGTACCTTAATAGCAGGCCTGGTGTTAGGGTTGCCTGTGTTCAGGTCCTCGTGAACTCTGTCCAGCAGCCACAGCAGAAACTCCTGAGCATCGTGCTGAGAATTCCCCTTAAACTGGATGGCATTTTTCGACACAGCATTCTGTAACAAACAGCGTGGTGATTACAATGTGTGCAGGGTCAAAAGGTAAGCACTATTTATCCTTAAATATGGTGGTTATGAGGTTTCAATACGTTTTTACACAAGTACCGTATTTAAGTACAATTCTGAGGTACTTGTACTTCACTTGAGTATATCCATGTTATGCTACTTTGTAATTCTACTCCACTACAATTCAGAGGTAAATATTGTACCTTTACTCCACCACATTTACGTAGTATCTTTAATTAATTTGCCGATATGGATTAATGATAAAAAAATATGTAATCAACACTTTAATAAGACTTTAGTTATATTGATATTGCTTGATAAACACAATACTACATCAATGATTATAATGACAAATACATTATATATGATTCTGAAATGGGCCAATCTGCATCGCGTGTACTTTTACTTTTGGTACTTTATGTATATTTAGTAGGGATGGGAACGATTAATCGAATATTTAAAATTATTCAGGTATTCGAATATGAGTTATGAATATTTGTATTGTAATTTTTTTGTTTTTGGGAGGGGTTCCTAAGTTGATTACATATTATCAAATGGAATAATTCAATGTATACGACAGTGCCATAGCTAAATGTGTCTAAAGGTGTGTTTTGCTCCGCTCACCGGTCCCTCACAGCGGGCAGAGCTGCAGGTGCTGATCTCTCTCTCGCGTCCGGTTATACTTCACTCGCGTTTATGTCCAAATCCATCAGATCTAGCTACTGTAGTTCTAGCTAATGATATGGCTGCTGCCCCTCCCTACTACTCAAACCTCATCTTATGCCCAAATTCCAGCTGAGAGGGTCTTCTCTACAGCTGGCCTGATTGTGAATCGCACCGCCTCTCCCCTGAGCATGAAGACATGCTCATATTCTTAAAGAAGAATGAGTATTGAATAGCTGCATTCTGTGCATAGGCCCTGTTATAGGTTGTTGATCTCTGTTGTAATAGGGTTACGTTACCCTGACCCGTTATGTTGTTCCTGTCTGATCCCTCTTTCATTTAAAAAACAAGTTATGTTTTAAGCATGAAAGCTGTAGGCCTATAGCTGTCAACTGTTCAAACTGTGATCACCAGCTCAATATATTTGACAAATTCGACTTGGTTTCTATACTTATTTGAACATGTATTTATTTATTTTCAAAATTAAATGTATTTGTTTGTTTTTTTGTAAATTTGTTTCCCACATTTTTTTGTATAGGATAGGTACATTTCGGTTAATCGGTTAACCGTTGTTTGGGGGGGGTCGAATATTCGAATGTACATTTGCTTTCAAATTCCCATCCCTAATATTTAGATGTCAATACTTTTGTACTTTTACTTGAGAAACATTTTGAATGCAGGACTTTGACTTGTAACACAGTATTCCTAATTTTCCTACACTCTGGTAGTTCTACTTTTACTGAAGCAGAGCATCTCAGTACTTTCCAACTCTGGCAGTATGTATTGGCAAAGTACTTTTTCTGCAGAAGTGGCAAAAGTCATGCATTTACCTTGAAATCCCTGCTATGCTGCGGGGTGTACTCAAAGGTCCACAGAGCCCGCATGAGTCCTGACAGCTGCTCCGTCACCTCTCCTTTGGCCAGAGGACCCTTCTTGTGCAGAAGTAAGCCATTTGTCTTTGGTTTGTCCTCTTCCTGCTCGTCGCCTTTGTAATGCTCCAGAACCAGGTACTCAGCGAAGAGTTCCGTGTTGCTGAGACACTGCAGGATGGCATTCATGAAGCAGGTGTTCCCGTGGTTTTTCAGCCCTGACACTCCAGGAACCCTGTCTCCACACAGCAAACCCGCCAGGTCCCCATCCTCCATGGGCACATCCTTACACCCAGGTTTAAAAGAGGAGAACCCCCCGTCATCTTTCTCATCTTCTGCTTGCACTTCAGATCCATAGTGTGATAAGGCGGTCAGAGTCCGGATGAATCTGCCCATGAAGCTGCCCACAGAGCGCACAGAGCCCCGCCGGAACAGCTTCTTGCTGAAGCTCGACTTCTTGTCCTTGGTTGCGGCTTTGCAAGACATGATTTCTCTTTCACAGGCTTTACAACTCAGACAGGTGTGATGGGAAAGATTAGAGCCATGTCACTGGCTGCTATCTGCTGCTCCATCTCAAAACGTGAGACAGCACTAGCTGCTGGCAGCGTTAGGGGTTAGCTGACCTTAGCTAGTAATATCATTGTAATCCATGTTTTCTTCAAAAGCATGCAGCTGTAATTTATCCGTGCAATCTGTCAAACAACGTTAGCATATCCTGCACTGTAACAACACCTAAAACACTGGCTAAAGTCAATTACACAATGACTTAAAGGCGTTTCATAAACGTTCCTAAGGTCTGTTGTTGATGTCTGAAAGTTGCTCCAGAGTTACCTTGTTTTTGCGGTTCACTGCCCCGCAGCAATGAATCAACATCGGTTATGCTGTGAGCGATTGCTTAGCTAATTAGCTAACGCTAACGCTAGCTACAATAACAACAAGAGCAGCAGAAACGGCAACAGTCCTTTTCCGCCGAGATGTTCAGGTCCAACAGAAACTGATATTCCGCCATACTCTGCAGTTAACTGCAGCTGAAGTAAGGAGAGTGTCCTACATTTGGTGAACCTCACATTTGTCACATATTTGGAGGCACATTCAGGCTAAAATACAAAAACCTCAAGCAGAATCGTTATAGATGTTCTTCTTCTGCTTGTTTGTGTTGGCAGACAGTGATACAGACGCGAAGTCTGTATCACCGCCACCTGCTGGACTGGAGTAAGAGCAGCATGGCATTATATTATTTATAGTCCAGTAAATAGACCATATCAGCCATTTGATTTGCCAATAATTTAATTGTACATTAGGATAAATGATACACATTTAAAACTACAGGTGAATAAGCTAAAACCTTATAGATATCAATTTGAAACGTATGTAGTTGATAACGTAGTGTTTATGCATACATTTGTTTAATTCCAAAAGACAAATGAAAAATGGTCATATAATGTATTATAAACAACAACAAGAAAAAAATGTAAGAATTAAGACATTTTTTCCCACTGCTCTTTTTGTCAGTTCACTCTTTTTCCTGAGGGAGGCACAATGAGTCTAAATATTAAGTACTTGCAGTTATTATAGAAAGTGTGTGGCTTTTGTATCGCCATGCTAGAGATGTGTGTGTGCAATATGTATTAATTTGTATTTCTTAAGAGAGTTACATGGCAATGAAGTATGAATACTTTCCCATGACTTTTGAGTGGATTTGAAGTGGGAAACAACATCGCTTACTTAATGGCAGGGTGTGAATAAAATGGATTTAAGAGTGTGAGTGCGGAAACATTGTGAGTCAGTGTCTAGTAAGCCTTTTGAGCAATCTAAATCATCTTTTTGAGGAGACAGAATTATATATTTCCCACTGAGTTGGGTGGAGAAGGTGGATAAAGATTGAACAGAAGAGGAAATACCCACAATTATCTTAGATTTAAACATATGTTAAAAAGTGATGGAATTAACACTTGTCTATTGAAATCTCTCAAGGAAGAGCTCGCCATTGGCACAGTACTGTTCAGATATTATGAGTGGTAACTCATTTCAGTTTATTATTTTGTCCTGTAATTAGAACACAGCAAAAATAAAAGACAAGTGATAATCCAAAAAGGAAAATAGATTTGTATTGTGAATGTTAATAAAACATCTTGGCAAATTGTCATATAGCATATTGTAAATCTACTCCAAAGTCAACATCTTCAACACTCTATGGTGCTGCACACACTGCATACAGTGATAGTTAGTTTAAAGACTTTGCGATAACTCAATGGAGTCTGAGTGTTAGCAGAAACTAAAGTGCTGCTGTTATGCTCGTCATGTGAATACACAGCACATTTCCCGGAGATAATAAGATTTGATTTTGGAGTGACAGTAGCTTTGTGTTGTGCTGATTAGCCGCTTGTTCTCCCCGATGGAGTGATACTGTAAACACAAAGTAACACTGATGGGCACACAGGATTATTGAGATGAACATCTGTCTGATGTCATTGTGGGGGTGCTCCAACAATCCTGGCACACACAAACAGATCGAAGAAGAAAATTAGATTGTCCGAGGAAAATTGGATCTATGCAAGACACTGATTTGTGTGCCCCAAAAACCCATCCATGTGTATTTAGGATACACCTTATTTGGAGCTCACATATTATGTTTAGTGTGTGCCAAACATTGAGGGTGCAGTATACACACTATTCACCAGCAGTGCTGGGAGTGATTTGGGAGTTGACTCCTAGCAATTTGGGACCAAACAAGGAGAATGTTGCAGTTCTAAGGTGATCGAACCGTGCAAATGCGCTTCCAATGCCACAAAGACTAACGTACCGTGCTGCACTTTCAAAAACGATGTAAATAAAAAAAACATGTTCACCAACTTGACGAAACATTCGCAGTTGGCCAACAAGTGCTCCGATCCCAGCTATGTGTATCACTTTTTAGTCTCCCCGTTTCTGTTGTGTTTGAGTTCTTCCCGTGATTTCTTTTTTTATTTGCACTATTTTGTATTTGCAGCTTTTTTGTTTATACTGTATTCAGTAAACCCAGCGCATGCTTCATCAAGATGTTTTTTCATATGCATGTGTTTTGACGCATTGTGTTTTTATATTTGCATCATTTTGCAGTGTGTTTCTCCAAATGAAAGTGTTTGGGCCATTGTAACACGTCTGTCCCTCTCGGCCACCGTAGTTTTCTTTGAACATGTGTTAAATCGTTTTTTAATGGGACATTTTTGCTAAATGTATGATCTGTGAACAAATTGACACTTTTGGAAGTAGACGTCATTGACATTTTTTGCTGGCATCTGTTAATATACCCTAACACTTTCACATTTTGAATTTCAACCTTTCTTTATACTTTTTATAAAACCAAACAAATGTTCTCCTTCGGGCTATGCAGTAGAACTTATTATAATAGTAGAAGTTATTGTTATCTTGAAAATATATTTTCATGCATCTCAAACTCTCTGTCTTCTTCTGGCACTTTTACTTTTGAAGATTTGTAAACAGCTTTTCCGAGTTCCTTACTGCAAACTGGGTCAAATATGAGTGTGAGCACTGCACATTTGTTGCTGCCTGTATTGTGTCATTTGCAAGCGTGTTGCTGTGCTTTGATTTGAAAGTTGGGATCAGCAGTGTTTATCTCTAATAGGAGCAATAAGTGTTTTTCCACCTGACACAGGCAACATAACGATCTACTCACCTCATTTCTCTACCCTGCCAGGTTTCAAACGTTTTATTTGGAGAGAAGAAAAGAAAATAAGAAAGACTTTCATCTCCACAAGTCACAGCAGTACGACTAATGAGTGGTGTCTGAATGACCTTTGAACAGCTGAAAATTGAAGATGTGTGTGATTTGACGGAAGAAAGTGCAGTGACTTGACATTGCTTTTAGAGTATCAAGTGCATCAAAGTAGTTGAAGACACCTCAAATAAATGAAAAAAAAATTGAACATATTTTATATCTATAGATCTACTGTAATTATACATCACAGACTTACTGTAAATCCAATTGAGTGAAGGACTTGAAAGTCAGTTTTTCTTTCCTTTTAAACCTTTCACTTGTTATTTGCCATCAACACAAGCTTTTGGAGCCAGCTGGGGAAGTTCTCTAATGACGTGTCCATGGAAACAAGGCGAGAGGGTCACATGTGTCTTATCACTCAACACGGGAAAAGCCTTCTGTTCAATTTTGCCGGGATATTAAAAATATGTCACAACATATCAAAATCAGAGGTCTAGATTTTGTCGTTTCTCATCAGTGGATTAGAAACGGTCTCTGATGTAATGATCCAGACGCGGGCTCCTCATCTGTCTGTTTGCTTTGTTGTTTCCCTCTCATTTACGACTCAGGGGGTGCTCACAATCATACATAAGGGAACATTCCCTCTCTCGATATGCATTAGTGAGAAACACCAAATAGAGTTGCCAAACAAAGAACTCAAGCCCTTAACATTGGTAATCAACCAATCATGTTGGGTAGAGTCATAATTATCATTAACTTTGATCTGAAAAACAATGTATGTAAGATTAATTTAGAGCGCTTAACTAGCTATTATCTTCTTGAATGCCTATATGTTTTCCAACAAAGTGTTGTGATTGTTCACAGGAATTTGAAGTACTGTAGTTACAAAAAGGATTTAAAGAGCAGCAGGGATTTGCCATACAACATTATTTCCAAATAAGAGATTATATTTTATTGTAGATACCTGGGCTGATTTAATTGGTTCCACATTACTCATTGAAAGCAAAACAATACATATTAGGTTCAACTTAATATTATTGCAACTAACCTAATACTGTGAAATGTGTTGAACTAGTACATTTAATTACAGTCAACGTCTCAGTTTTTTCAGTGCAGGATTGGCTCCATTATTGATTATTGGTAAACAGTGATAATGAATCTCTCTAATTGTAGGATCTTGCTATATATGCTTTGACTGTGTTGGTGTTACGGTGTGTGAAGCAGGCAGGACCCAAATGCAGATTAAAGTGAAAATTCCTTTATTTCAAGGCTAGGTGATAAACAAAGACAAAACAGAACACTCACCGACGAACTAGTCATGACACACGACAAACCGACACTGAACACAGGAAGAGACTAAATACAGGGAGGGGTAATCACAAGACGAGACACAGCCGGGCAGGGGAGGAGAAACACAAGGGCCACAGGTGAAAACAAGCAGACAACTAGACACACCAGGGAAACTAACGACGGGAGGAAAAACACAGGGAAAAGGACCAGACAATATACCCAGAGGAAAACATGACAGGGAGAACAGCAAAACACCCAAACCAAGACATAGAAAACGTGACATAACACAATAATCGTAACAGTTGGTGCTCATGATGGGCTCCACTTGTGAATTATCGCTCCTACACTATAAGACTATGACTGCCTGACTGCAGCTTTGGCGATAATGGACATGTAAGAAATGATTTCTCTGCTTAGAGAATGGCACCTACCCTACAAGCATATACTTAATGTTCCTGTGTTACTGTAAAGCATCGTGTGCACGTGCCCTTCAGATCACGTGTGCTTATGTGCAAACCAAACAGAGGAGGGAGAAAAATGTCTGACGTGTGCTACGATACAAGAGCTTCCAATAGATGTTAATTATCTTCTCAGCCTTGGTTTGCATGTGCTCTAAATATTTCTGCTAAAGTGGTTTTCAATGAAGCTCTGACACAGAACATATTGGAGTCAATTTGATGCAATAAATTAGGTTTTATATCTGTTATTTATATACTTAGTACGACAAGGATTCAATGATGCATATCTCAATGGCCAATCTAACATGAGGAGGATTTTGAATGTCAAATGTTTCTCCAATTTTGGGCCTTTTCCCCTTTTTTAGCTCCCTTTGCATTCATGTTGGACACATACAAAAGTGAGACTCTATTTCTTTATATATATCTCAATCCTTGTCAATAACAAGACCATACTCTAAATCTACAATTGACATGATTAAACATGACACAAAGTTGGCATATTTAGATCAACTGAGACCTTGTGTGAATTATGTGAAGTCTTAGGTAGCTTTCTTGGTCTCCTGAGTAGAACATTAACATATTTAGATCGTATCAAAGCTCTGGATGAGCTCATTAGGCAGAACAAAGTAAAGGTACACGGATCTCAGTCTGAGTGACAGCTGAACCTGCTCCCTGCGTCGCT